TCAGGAGCCTGACATGGGATTGGGAACCCAGGCATGGGCACGAGAGATCACAGCCGTGGCACAGGCAATGCCTATCACCTGTGGAGACACCAAAAATGAGACTCGGGACACCAAAATGACATTGGGGACATGGGAAATGGGACTGGGAACCCAAAATGGGATTGGGAACTCAAGCGTGGGTACGAGAGGCCACGGCCGCGGCACGGGCAGCGCCTGTCACCTGCGGGGACACAAAATGGGACTGGGGACATGGGAAACGGGATTGGGGACATTGGAAATGGGATTGGGAACCCAGGCATGGGCACGAGAGGCCACGGCTGCAGCACGGGCAGCGCCTGTCACCTGTGGGGACACAACATGGGATTGGGTACACCAAAATGAGACTGGGGACACCAAAATGGGATTGGGGACATGGGAAATGGGACTGGGAACCCAGGCACAGGCACGAGAGGCTGCGGCACAGGCAGCACCCGTCACCTGTGGGGACACAAAATGGGGTTGGGGACACTAAAATGGGATCTGGGGACATGGACACAGGGTTGGGGACATCAGAAATGAGATTGGGGACATCAGAAATGGGACTGGGAACCCAAAACAACATTGGGACCTCAAGCATGGGCATGAGAGGGCATGGCCACGGCACGGGCAGTGCCTGTCAGCTGTGGGGACACAACATGGGACTGGGGACACCAAAATGGGACTGGGGATGTTGGAAATGGGATTGAGGACACTGACATGGGACTGGGGACACGAAATGGGGACAGAACCCCCCAAAATGGGATCAGGGACATGACACGGGATTGGGAACACCAAAATGGGTTTGGGGACACCAAAATGGGATTGGGGACATTGGAAATGGGATTGAGGACACCAACACCGAATTGAGGACACAAAATGGGAACAGAACCCCCAAAAAAGGAATCAGGGACACGACATGGGATTGGGGACACCAAAATGAGACTGGGGACATGGGAAATGGGATTGGAGACATGAACATGAGGATGGGAACATCAGAAATGGGATTAGGACACCCAAAATGGGATTGGGAACCCAGGCATGGGCATGAGAGGCCACAGCACAGACAGCGCCCATCACCTGTGGGGACACGAAACAGGGTTGGGGACACACAAATGGGATTGAGGACACCAAAATGAGACTGGGGACATGGGAAATGGGAGTGGGAACCCAAAATCAGGATTGGGAACCCAGGCATGGATATGAGTGGCCATGGCCATGTCAGGGGCAGCGCCCGTCACCTGCAGGGACATGAATGGGGTTGGGGACACCAAAATGGGGCTGGGGACATAGACATGGGGTCAGAGAGCTCAGAAATGGGGCTGGGAACCCAAAATCAGGATCGGGGACCCGAAATGGCATTGGGAAAATCGGAAATGGGATTGGGGATATGAAACGGGACTGGGGACATTGGAAATGGGATCAGGGACCCAAAGGGGATCACAGACATCGACACGGGATCGGGGACCCAAAATAGAGACAGAACTCCCAAAAAACGGGATTAGGAACCCAAAAATGGGAGCAGAGCCCCAGGAACAGGATCGGGAATCCCAAAACAGGATTGGGACTGAAAACACCATCGAGGACATTGGAAATGGGATTGGGAACACAGGAATGGGATCAGTGACACAAAATGGGGTTGGGGACCCAAAATGGGATCAGGAACCCACAGTGGAATCGGGGACAACACCACAGGATCAGGGACCCAACACAGGATTGGGAACCCAAAATGGTTTGGGGGACCCTAAACAGGACTGGGGAGCCAAATGGGACTGGGGATCGAGGACCCGAAATGGGATGGGAGACACAAAACAGGATCAGGGACAGGAAATGGGATTGGGGACCCTAAATGGGATGGGGAACCCAACATGAGATCGGGGATCCAAAATGGGATAGGGACCCAGGAACAGGATCAGGAACCCAGGAATGGAATCAGGGCCGAAAAGGGGATCGGGGACACCAGCAGGGGTCAGGGACCCAAAATGGGACTGGAGACCTGAAACAGGATCGGGGACCCAGGAACGGGATTGGGGACAATGGAAATGGGATCAGGGATACCAACACAGGATCAGAGTCATGAAACAGGATTGGGGATCTGAAACAGCATTGGGGACATGGGAAATGGGATTGAGAACCCCAAAACAGGACAAGGGCCCTGGAAAGGAGGGCAGGACCCCTGAAAATGGGATTGAGAACCCCAAAAATGGGATTGGGAACCCCAAAACAAGATCAGGACCCCCTGAAATTCTGGGAGAGCCAAAATCCCCCAGAAAACTCAAAAATTCCCAGATTTGGGGCCACAAAATCCAACTGAGACTTCCAAAATCTCCTCAGGACCCCCTAAATCTCATCTGTGACTCCCAAACCTCACCTGGGACCCCCCCAAATTCCCCTGGGCCCCCCAGACTCACCTTGAGGGTCTCGGCCTCAGCCTCCGCCTGCAGCAGCACCTGAGTCCTGTAGGGGGCGCAAAGTCAGGGGGTGGGGCTGCTCTTAAAGGGGCAATGCCATTCTTAAAGGGGCAATGGTGCATTATGAATGGGCCCACGGGGGCGGAGGGGGGTGTAGTTTATTTGAAGGGCTGTGGCTCATCTTAAAAAGGGCAATGGGACCTAAAAGGGCAATGACAGCAGCCAGCTGGGCAATGGGTCTATCAAAGGGGCCATGACTACAAAACAGAATAGTGGGGCCCGCTAAGGCGTGATGGTGGCTGACTGGGAGGAGGTGTGGCTTCTCTCTCAAGGGGCGTGGCTTTACCCAAGGTAGTAGGACCTACCACAATGAGAATGTAGATCACCACAAGGGATGGAACTTATCTTTAAAGGGGCAATTGCTTCACACAAACTTGTGTGACCCATGACAGTGAGGGTGTGGCTTCTCCTTAAAGGTGCAATACCTCTGTTAAAGGGAGAACAGCTCTCCCCAGACAGGTGGAAGCCACCAAAACTCCACCACATCTAACTGGGAGAGGGCATGGCTCCTTCTTAAAAGGGCAACAGCTTCACCTTTAGGGAGGGACACACCAGGAATAAGACTCACTGTAACAGGTAGGGCTTTTCTTAAAGAGGCAATGGTTCCACCCAAACTGGTGGAACCCACCATGGTGAGGGTGTGGCTTTTTCTTAAAACACTTGTCTTAAAGGAGCCATGGCTCTACCCAAACTGGTTGTACCCCTCAAAAACAGGATTACAGTGGACTTGGAGAGAGCATGGCTTTGTCTTAACAGTGCAGTACTTCTCTTAAAGGGTCAACAGCTTTACTTTTACAAGTGGGACTCACCCGGGCTTCTCCTAAAGGGGGTGACACCTCTCTTAAAAGGGCAATGGCCCTACCAAAATGGTGAGACCCACCAAGGTGAGGATGCAGGTTCTCCTTGAAGGGCAGCACTTCTCATAAAAGGGCAATGGGTGGGACACCCTAAACTAAAACTGGGCCTGAGTGAGGGTGTGGCTCCTTCTTAAAGGGGCAATGGCTTCACCTTTACTGGTGGGGCCCACCAGGTGTGTAACTTCCTTTAAGGGGTGGGGCTTCTCTTGAAGGGGCAATGACTCCACCCAAACCGGTTGGACCCACCACAATGCGGGTGTTGCTTCTTGAAAGGGCAACACTTCTCTTAAAAGGGCAACAGGTGGAACCCCCCAGAACACCACCACAGCTGAGCAGAGGAGGGCATGGCTCATCCCCAGAGAGGCGTAGCCACNAACACGCGGCCTCCCATTGGCTGCCGCGCCAAGGGCGGAACAGGAAATCTGTTCTGCCTGGCAACCAGTGACGTCCCTGATTTCTCGGCGCTCCATTGGCTGCGCCGTGCTCAGATTTTAGTACTATCTATGGGAAATGAACAATTTCAGCTCGGGATGAACCTGGAGCTGAGGGCAGTGATGGGGTCTGGGGAGCTCCAGACCATGGCCGGGTCGTGGTCAGCTTATGGTCATCCCATGGTCATCCCAGGGTCAACTCGTGGCCATAATCGTATTACGGTCATCTCACAGCCATGGTCATGTCATGGTCAGAATCATCTCAAGGTGACAGTCATATCATGGCGATGGTCATCTCCTGATCACCATCATCTCATGCTCATGGTCATCTCATGGTCAGGATCACATTATGGTCATGGTCATGTCATGGTCATCTCTTGGTCACCGCTATCACACGCTCACAGTCATGTCATGGTCATCTCAGAGTCATGGTCATGGTCATCTCATTGTTGCCTCATGGTCAGCTCATAGCCACAATCACCTCATGGTCATCTTACATCTGTGGTTCTGTCATGGTCATGGTTATCTCTTGGTCAACTCATGGTCAGAATCTTGTCATGATCTTGATCATTTCATGGTTGTGGTTGCATTAAGATCAGAGTCACGGTGATCTCATGACCCTGATCACCACATGGCCATGGTTGCATTGTGGTCATGTCTTGGTCGCAATCATCTCATGGTCACGGTCATCTCATGTCCACCTCAGGGTGATGGTCATTTCCTGATGACCATCATCTTAAGCTCATGGTTATCTCACTGTAATGGTAAGCTCACCGTCACCTCA